TTACCACTTTTAAATGGGCTCGATTTAGGAAATCACGGCTGTTTTAGCCATAGGTTAGCCATAGGCTGGCATTCACAGCCTTCTATGTATTAATTTACAAACTCTAGGACAGTGTTTCTCAACCTTGGCAGCTTGAAGATGTGTGGACTTCAACTCCCAGAATTCCCCAGCCAGCCATGTTGCAGTAATCATGGTTTGTTTAATCATGGCTTGTTGAGTAAAGACCCATTGTTTAACACCTTTGAATTGGGTCGATTTAGGAAATCACAGCTGAATTAGCCATAGGTTAGCCATAGGCTGGCATTCACAGCCTTCTATGTATTAATTTACAAACTCTAGGACAGTGTTTCTCAACCTTGGCAGCTTGAAGATGTGTGGACTTGAAGTGACTTATGACTGGTCCTCCCACTTACAACCGTCACAGTGACCCCGCGGTCACGTTCAAAATTCGGGCACTTGGCAACTGGTATGTATTTATAATGGTTGCAGAGTCCCAGAGTCACATGATCGCCATTTGCAATCTTTCTGGGCAGCTTCCAACAAGGAAAGTCAATGGAAGAAGCTGTATTCACTTAACAACCATGGCAAAAAAGGTTGTAAAATCGGGTGCAACTCACTTAACGGCCACATTGCTTAGTGACAGAGGTTCCGGTCCCAACTGTGGTTGTAAGTTGAGGACTACCTTTATTTCTTTGCTTTCCAAGAAAAAAAATCCAAGGCAGGATCTTGGGATCTCCCTGGGAGGGACAGACCCATACAGACCTCCCGGGATCGAATCCCTGTCGCTTAACCCAAACAAAGAGCGTCTTTTTCCAATGCACAAGCAGCAACTTGCCCCAGCCAAGGAAGCCTAGTTGTGAATTGCTGAACGCACTCATTGTTGGTCTGGAACTACACGGGCTCTTCACCATTTGGGCCAAAAAGAGGAGATGGAGATGGGGGTGCCTGTATGGGGGGGTGCCCGTCATACAGAGGACGGGAGGAAGGCTAGAAAAAGGGTCCAGATGTGGAGGTTCACCATTCTGGAGAGGCAGAGGAAGAGCAATTCCCTCCACCCTTCGAAGCTCGCTGCCAAGCTCTGATCTGGAGAGGTCTGTAATTTTCCACGCCAGAGTCATCAATCCCAGAATGGAAGGCCGGAGAAAGGAAGCCCTCCTGTTCCCCATGGGGGGTGTGCATGACCCGGTGGTGCTCCTCTCGCCATCTCTCCTGCGCTGCAAACTTGCACAAGTGCTGGGACTCCAACAGGGGGCGTTACATGTCTCTCCTGGCCACACATAAGAGAGGCCCCGCACGTTGCCCACAGAATAGCATACTGGAAGCCTGGTTTCAAACCATGCTCCCGTCGAACGGAGCCTCTGTTCACTTTGATGTGGTTGGCCACTCTCTCCAAACGGTTCCTATTTATCAAAGGAAATCCAGTGTGTGGGGAGAAGAACACATCCTGTTCATCATTCCCTTATTTGGAGTTTACTTTCTTTTTTAGACCCATTGATTCGGACCTGGGAGAGAGTGGGGAAGTGTTCAGCAAGGTCAATAAGGGACTGCTGAATCTAATAACCCCAGGCGCTAAGTTCCAGCTTCCTACAGCCCTAACAGAAGGCATTCAATAAACGTTAGGAGGAAAACAGAAAGACTGCACTCGTTCCACTGGCTGGCACCAAAACTGATGCTGAGAAGGTGCCAGAAGAATCTCTTCCAGCCTCTTGCCATTGAAATAACTTTCGCCTTTGTACTCCGAGGAAGAAAGACGGTTGGCGGAAGGCAAAGAACCAAGAGCCCCAAACATCCCTTAAAATCCCCCCATGCCCCCAAGCCATCTCCAACCACACAGTTGAACTGCCGTGGCCCAATTGCTGAAAATAAATGCAGTTAATGGGGAGACTCCCGTTCTGCAGTGGGAAAGACCAATAAAGGTTGTGCTCACCCTAAAGAGACTTGAAACAGTTTTAAAAGCACCTTTTCAGCACAACACATAGTCCACCTATGGATATTACAGGTAACCCTCAACTTACAACCACAATTGGGACCAGAACGTCTGTCGTCAAGCAATGCAGTCGTTGAGTCATACCCGATTTTACGACCTTTTTTGCCACGGTTGTTAAGTGAATCCAGCTTCCCCCATTGACTGCTTGTTGGAAGCCCCCTGGGAAGGCTGCAAATGGTGATCACATGACCGCGGGACACTGCAACTGTTGTAAATACATGCTGGTTGCCAAGTGCCTGAATTTTGATTCCGCGACTGTGGGGATGCTGCGACGGTCGTAAGTGCGAGGACCATTCGTAAATTTTTTTTTTTCAGTGCTGTTGTAACTTCAAATGGTCGCTAAACAAATGGTCATAAGTTGAGGACTACCTGTATTCCCACAAGAAGTGATAATAGCCACTAAACTCAGATGGCTCTGGACAGAGATTAGAGAAACTTGTGGAGGACATGTGTATGAGTCTGGAAAACTCAGTATGGATTTTGGATTAGGGGCAGCCAACCTCCAAATACCAGCTATAGGGGAACAACAGTAAGAGGGGTTGGTTCCATGAGAGACTTCCTACGCTGGCCAGGGGTTAGATGAGAAGATCTCCAAGATACCCACCAACCCTAGGATTTTATAATTCTATGATCTCCTGCTTGCAAGCACCCAGAGGCACCTCACTGGCCAAACTGGGCTAAGACAGGCCGTGGCCTGATCCATCTAAGCTGCACTGTCAGGATTTCAGCCTTGATCGTTCAGCTCCACCATGGCTTCTGGGAATGGAACCCTCCCTTACCCAGGAGTAGACCTATAAGAGTAGGAAAGACTGGGATTTCTCTAGAGCAGTGTTTTCTCAACCTTGACCACTTTAAGATGTGTGGACTTCAATTCCCAGAATTTGCCAGCCAGTATTAGCATGGCTGGCTGGGGGATTCTGGGAGTTGAAGTCCACACATCTTAAAGTGGTCAAGGTTGAGAAACACTGCCCTAATTCTTCCAAGTAGAGTGAGCTGCTAATCAAGAAATGAGATAGAACTTTAAAAGGGACATCTCTGCAGTGCAGACCAGAAAAGAATCAATGGCCATTCTTCGCCACAATGGCAGCGTTAAAACTCTTTTGAGGCTAAGAGCAAGCAACCTTTTTGGGACCCAGGTCCTTATTTGATCTTGACTAAGCGAGAAGTAGAAACCTGGCATGGCCACCCACAGAGGGAAGAAAAGGATCAGTGCTAATATTGGCATATTTCAAATCCAGGTCAACTGGATCTTCAAAACTCATCAGCCGCTCTTCACGTTTTTCCAACCCTGCTGCCACATTATATTCCCCAGGCGAACTTCCTGAGCCGCAGTTAACATGCACAACATGAACAGATAGATTAAGGAAAACGGACAAGGAATAAGCAAGAAAATTAGAAGCCAGAGGACCCAGGCGTTGCAACACAGCATGTGCATTTCAAATGAGCATGCTGGTCTATTAAAAGGCTGGAGAGAATAAAAATGCTTCTGGCCCCAAAACGGGAGTCAAGTCAGCACCAGGCGTCTCTTCCTGGGGAGAACATTTCAATTATGCTACAGTTTAATTAGATCTACTGTAAATGAAAACAAGAATAAACAAAGCAGCCATGAAATCTTGAGCAAATAGGATAATAGCTGTGCAAACCCTCAACAGGCAACTCTCATGCGCGTCTGGACTCACTCCAGGACAGCTGGTTTGCACAACATGCTAATCCTCAATTAACAAAACAGAGTGGTCATGTTCCCATTGCGTGTAAGGCCCCCATGAATAAGCCCTGACATGGCTTAAAGCAGGGGGGACAACCTCGTGGGCCACGCAGAGCCCCCAGACTCCATGTCATCTTCCCCCCAGGATCATCAGGGGGCAGTGCCAACATTCAGCTGTGCAATGACTCACTTCTGTGCTCTGATTTGGGGTTTCCCCCCCCTAGAAATAATGGCTGAAAGAGGATGCTCCGATATCTATCTCCAGTCACCCCCAAATTGCAATGCCCGAATGTGGGTACTTTATCTGAATTCATCTTATATTTGTGCAAAAATTTTCAGTGAAAATTATATTAAAAAAAAGAATTTGGGTATTTTGCTGCCAGATTTTTGGGGGAGTTGGCTGGCTCAGAGCACCCACAGAGGGGCCAAAAACGTCAAGATGGTAGCCATGATTGGAGATCAACGTCTTGCCCCTTTTGATATGTGTTGCACAATAAAAAGAAGTGGGACTTTGACCACCCAGTCTGGGCCACCATCTTGACTTTTCTACCCACCTCCTCAGACCACCTTGCCTATGTTGAACCACAAGGGACCCAACCCCATTTCCCGCTGCAGAAATGGAGAGTCGGATTCAGACAGTCTCTCTTCTGATCTGTAGGATGGGTAGTCCAGGGAGTGTCTGTTACAACTGGGGGCACTCAGACCCACCAACGTATTCTCATTTTTGTATGTGAAACGTTGGAGAAGACAGAAAGTGGTTCAACGAGCTTTTCGGATTGGCAAGATTGCCCGTCAGAATGCCCAGATCTCACAAGATGTGGCCATCCTGTGACATGCTTTATTTTTATATACGGGGAATACCAAACGTCACGCCCCACAGGCCAATCGCAATCGTTTTATTTTTATTTTTTTCAGAGAAAACCACTGCCCCACTTAAAAATGTTCAAAAGTCATGAGTCAAACAAGTAACGGAGGGTTTAGGAAAAAAATGGCAGCCAGTTCAACCCATTCAAACCGTCTGTGGGTTCCAGCTTTTGGCACACCCTGTAGGAACCCACGTCTGTCTGTCGATCTGTCTGTCTATCTATGGGGGAGACTTCTTCAAATGTTGTCTGAAGGTTCACATGCTCAGCAAGGGTTTTCTCACTGTTTAGACAGACAGGCAGATGGATGATAGGACGGACAGTTGATGGAATAGATAGAGAAGAAAGGAAGATAGATACAGGATGGATGGATGGATGGATGGATGGATGGATGG